CCATTAGTCACCTTATTATAAACTCTCAGGTGTGGTCTAAAGGATACTCCTATCATTTGGGAGATTCTAGTAGTTTAGAGATTACCTCCAGGGCAAGCTAGATTCTTCATTATGCAATACTATAACATACATCTCCTATCCAGAATTAATAATATTAGTATGTTTTTTACTTTTAGAGAAATAAAACGTTAGGAATACTGCAGGGAAAATTCTGGTACATTGCGTCCCTCAGATCCCCATCTACATAGATATTTCTCCATAGCTTACCTTGTGTATTTTTTACAGAAAAGTTGCAACAGTTGTAGAAAGAATCCCCCAAAACTCTCACTCAGAATCCCCCGTACTATATTTGTATCATCATTTCTCTTTACTCTTTCCCCAAATCTTTCCATTTAGTATTTCATAAAAACAAATAGTGGGGCCTCCCCTGGTGGCACAGGCGGTTGAATGCACACTGTGAAGCTGTCCGCAGCCTCTGCAGTGCTGGTTCGATCCTGGCCAGCCGGCAAGGGTCCCACATGGCACAGCAGACCTCTCCTGTCTCGCCCACTGTTGCCCTCAGTAGTATATTTCGATCAGTCTGCCTGTTCTGTTTCCCACTCTCTCTCTGGTGAATTCTCTCACCCTCCCATGCATCTAGCTTATGGCCCGGTTCTTGTATAAATAAATAAATAAATCTGTGAAAAAAAAAACCAAAAAAAAAGAGATTATCCAAATTAGAAAATTACATTGATGTGATGCTGTTTCCTGAACTATTGTCAAATTTAGTTGTTGCAATTAATCTTATTTATAGAAAGAAAATCTTGGATCATGTGTCATGTTCAGTTGTCACGTGTCTTTATTCTCTCTTAATCTGGAACAGTTTCTCTATCTTTTAACATTTATGATTGATGGCTTCATAGATAATCCTTCACTTTGGAGCTGTTTGATATTTCCTAATGATTGTACTTAGGTTATGTGTTTTTGACAAGATTATGAGTAATATTGTATTTTCCTCAGTGTGTCCTGTCAGGAGCCACTTGATATCAGCTTGTCGTGTTACTCATGCTGTTAACTTGACTTTTAAGTCATGGCTCAGGTGTTATTTGTCAGGTTTCTCCACTTGTGAGGAGATTGTTTGAGTTCATGTATCCTGTTATTGATCTGTCACTTGTTTACCATTCATTGGTGGTGGTGACTGAATTGGTTATTACTGTGATAGTTGTCAAGTGGTGATTTTTCTAATTCCGTCATTCCTTTTACATTTATTAGTCTGCATTTTAATATATAAGAAAGTTTTTTCTTTATATCAGTATGAACTCATGGGTTCTTTTCTTTTTTCCCCAATGAGTTACAGCCCATTACTGGAATTCTCTTAATTCAGACATCAATAAATGTTTGATCTTTTACTTATGTGGGAATGTGGTTTTTCCTAAATTTTTTTAAGGACAGACTTACATATTGTGTTCTTGGTAGGCAGGGTTTTGTTTTTGTTTTTTTTTCACTTAGCTCTTTAAATATAGCATCCCTTTCCTTTCTTACCTGCAAGCTTTCTGCTTAGAAAATTGTATGTAAAAAGTTGTGTTTATCTTGGAGGCTTTAAAAATTCTTACACTTTGATTTTTGACAAGTTGATTTCTTATGTGTTTCAGTGTGAATTTCTTGGATTCAGGCTGGTTTGGGGTCTTTGGGCTTCTTGAATCTGCATGTCCATTTCCTTCCCTGGACTTTGGAAATTTATACCCAGTATTTCTTTAAATAAACACTTTTCCCTTTTCTTGTTCTATTCTTCCATAAACCTCAGGCTTTCTTCACTCTTCTTCATTCTTTTTTTCCTTTTGATCCTGATTGGATAATTTCAAGTCATTTGTCTTTGAATTTTGTTTCTTCTGCTTAAGTGTGATATCAAATTCTTCTCAAAATTTTCAGTAGTTATTGTATTCTTTAGCCTCCAAATTTATGTTTAGTTTTTGTGTTTTCCCTCTTTGTTGGTATTCTCATTTTTTTCATACTTCATTTTCTTACGCTCATAAAATATCTTTGATGATCATTTTGAATTATTTGACTCCATTTCATTAGGATAATTTTCTGGGGTTCTATTCCATTTTCTGTTTGGGTCTTGTCTTGCTGTTTCTTCATAGTTTTGTGTTGGGATCCAAGCATTTGAAAACACAGTCACCTCTCCCAGTTTGAAGTCCTTACTTTCGAAAAATGAGCTAAATGAGCTAAGTATGGAATCTGAGTCGAAACCTTCCTGGCAAAGGGGAGGGATTTATCTTCCCTGGACTGGTGTGTGTAATTTCTCATCAGGGTACATTGCTGTTTTTTCAGAACCTTGTGTTCTCTTGCGCCCTTTGGTGCCTATTTGTGGCATCAGCAGTTCTCTGGTACTTAAGCCGCAAGCTGTTGTCTTTTTTTTTGTACTCAGTGGCTGCCAGGCAACCAAATATTCTGGCTCCTTATCAATAGCCCACATCAAGGGAGACAGATATCATTCTCTTGAGCAAAAGGTGAAGAACCAGAACACCAGAAGCACATTCTACTCTTCTCCCTCCTGAGGGAGGAACCTTAAATTATGTGCCCCTTCCCAAACATGTTGAGTCATGCTGGCTGCAGGATGCTGTCCCTGACTATTCTTTGGTCTCGGCAGCATTCAGGCACCTAAACTAGGCTAATTCTCTCAGTGTTCTAACTAAAGCACAACTAAAACCAATCCCTTGGGCAGTCCTCCAAAGAGATGAAATGCTGGATGTTTGCTCTATTTCCCTGTCACCCTCCCAAAGGTTAAGTCAGAAACTGGGATGTTTTTGCCTCACTGAACTGTGGTAGCTTGGAGAGAGGCTGACATGGGTATAGTGAAATTGCTGCTCTTAGCCATTTTAATGCAGGTGTAAACCTTTGTGTTCCCCTGAGATACTACAAATTCTTCGCTGAATTCCAGAAATCCCATAGATATTTTGGTTCATATATCATTGTTAAAGTGTTGTTTCAGTCGTGATACAGTGACTGAACTTGCTATTCTGCCATATTGCTGATGTCATTTTCTCTTCCCCATGCTTTTTTTAGGCTGCTAGTTTACAAGTGAAATGACATTAGAAACCCACCTACATATTTATTATAATCTTGCATGTTTGTTGCTTTCCAACAAAAGACATTTTATGGCCACATTTAGTATAAATAACCCCATCTTTCCTTGCTAAGGCTACATCATATTTTTTTTTTTTCCTTCCTTGCAAAGTCAGGCTTTCTGTAATAGAAAAAAAAAGGAGGCTAGTAGTGTTAGGGGGGAAAAGGATGTCCTAAAGCTAATTCCATACAGGCTTTGTGGACTCCACCCCCACTCCAGGCCAAAGCCAAAGACACTGGGAACTCCAAATCCCATCACCACCAAAGGGAAGGTGGCTGGGACCTGAGGGTGGGGTTAAGTAGCCAGGTTGCTATAAAGCCAGACATGTGGGCTTTGGAGGGGTTTTCCCCCCATTTTGGCTCTCCGCCAGCTCGCAGCATCCGGCCAGCGCTGAGAGTGCCTTTGGGTTTCCAGGTCGGCGGATCGGGTAGGACGCATTAAAGACTTTATTTCCCTATTTTCTCCCTGAGTTATACATTTTCCTTATTTCCTTTTCCCTTGTAAATAAGCCTTTTATTAACCTTTTGTGTGTGTCTGTAGTGGAGTATTAATAAGTCCCTTTTAAGCACATGGGTGAGGACCCACAGCCAGGCAACCCGTTCAATATCGGGGCTGCCCTATTAACAGCAGTAGGGTTAGAGGTTGACCATTAAATATAAATTTCCTGTTTCTAGAGTACATGATGATGTTTAATTTGAGGCTAAAACACAAAGGAAATGCTTAAACTTTCCACATATGAGGTTACTCAAGAACATTATGTTCATAATCATATTACTCTATTTTTAATTTTTTTAAAGATTTATTCATTTATGCATACAAGAACTGGGGTATAGGCCAGAGGTGCGGGGGGTTGAGAAGATTCACCAGAGATAGAGTGGGGAACAGAACAGGCAGATGAATTGAAATACACTGCTGAAGGGAGCAGTGGTAAAGACAGGAGAGGTCTGCTGTGCCATGTGGGTTGCTCCCTGGCCAGGGTTCAAACAGTGGCTGCGGATAGCTTCATAGGTTGTGTCTTAACCCCTTGCACCACCAGGGAGGCCCATATTGCTCTTTAAAAACATTCTATAGTGTCTCTTTTTTTGAAAGATTTATTTATTTATGCATAGAAGAGCTGGGGTACAGGCCAGACGTGTGGAGGGTGAGAGGATTCACCAGAGAGAGCGGGGAACAGAACAGGCACTGACTGAAATACACTGCTGAGGGGAGCAGCAGGCGAGTCAGGAGAGGTCTGTTGTGCCATGTGGGTTGCTCTCTGGCCGTCCGGGGGATCGAACTTGTGCTGCAGAGGCTGCAGACAGCTTCATACATTGCATCTTACTCCCTTGCGCCACCAGGGAGGCCCTATAGTGTCTCTTTTTAGAGACTTAATAAAAATTACTCAAATCATTGCATAGACTCTCATAATAAAGGTTTAGGTGATAACAACAATAATTACATTCATTATAATGGCAAATCTGACAGGTTTTATATGTCTCTAAAGCAGAATGTAAAATAGCAATGTGCTACCATAGCTATTAATAGGTTAGTATAGTTTCTATAGTCAAATGCCCAAGTTCATATCCAAGTTCCATCTGTTAGGTGACCAGGGTCAGGTTATTTTCCCTTTAAAAAAAACTTGCTTTTTCTTTTGTGCCTCAATTTCCTCATGTATAAAATGGGTATGATAATAATCTCACCTACCTCATGTGTTGTTATGGTGAATTGAATGAAATTATTTATATGTAAGATTAAATATAGAATATTTTATAATAATAGGTGTTGTGTTTGTAATCATTAGTTCTCATTATTTAGAACAGAGCAATTGTAATCAAATTGTTCTTTCCAAGCTTAGTAACTGTTAGATACCATCTTAACAAAAAATGATTAAATGACCTTCCTACTTCATTTACAGAGTTGAAACTGTGGGACAAGCAGACAGAAGAGACAGTATAGGAGTCTGTGCAGAGAAACAGAATGGATGTGACTCTCTGCAGCGGGATCAAGCAGTATGCATTAGTACAAATGGTAAGAGATAAAAAACTGTTATTCTCTGTGAAATATATGAATTACTATAGTAAGACATGAATCCGTTCCAGTATTACACATTGTAGCCAGAGATGTGGTGAGGTCTTAATGCCATGTTCATGTGGTACTATGCACCAGGCATTGTTCTACATCCTTCACAAATAATACATCATTTAATCCTTTTAACAAATTTATGAAAGGGGAATAGCATTTTATACATCTTATAAGTGATAAAAACTGAGCAACTGGCTTAAACTCACATAACTTGGAGATGATTGAATTGGAATTTGCAATAGACAGTTGCAAATTCTGTGTTCCCTAGATCATCTGAATTCAGCGTAGATTATCTACTATTCTGCAGTATGCACACTTTTTTTTTTTAAGATTTATTTATTTTTATACAAGAAGTGGGGTACAGGTCAGAGGCGCAGGAGGGCGAGAGGATTCACCAGAGACAGAGCGGGGAGCAGAACAGGCAGACGGACCAAATACACTGCTGAGGGGAGCAGCAGGCAAGACAGGAGAGGTCCGCCACGCCATGTGGGTATCTCCCTGGCCAGATGGGAATTGAACCCAGGCTGTAGAGGCTACATACAGCTTCATAGTGCTGTGCTCAACTCGCTGTGCCACTGGGGAGGCCCAGTGTGCACACTTTTAAAAATCACTGCCAAGAGGTATAATATTTTGGGCTGCAGGTCAAGCAGTTAGGTAGAAGATTCATATTTGTTCCATGTTGAACAATTTTGCTGTTCCACAAAATGTGATTTTGTAATGGAGTCAAGTTTCATTTGATGTTCTCCATATCAAAAATTCAGACTGTATAGTCTATTCTAAAAAACGCTGGAGGGCCTCCCTGGTGGCACAAGGGTTTTTAGGCACCGCACTATGAAACAATCCGCAGCCGCTGCAGCAAGAGTTCGATCCCTGGCCAGCCAGAGAGCAACCCATATGGCGAGGCAAACCTCTCCTGTCTTGCCTGCTGCTCCCCTCAGCAGTGTATTTCAGTCAGTCTGCCTGTTCTGTTCCCCACTCTGTCTCTGGTGAGTCCTCTTACCCTCCGCTTCTTTGGCCTGTACCCCAGCTCTTGTATGCATAAATAAATAAATCTTTTTAAAATAAATAAATAAATAATAAAAGAATGCTGTACCATGACTCTAAAGTCTTGACCAAAGTCTTAACTTTTTCTCCTGGTTTAGGATCAGAGATTAATTAACAATTAATTACATGTATTATCTTTGACCAGTTGGCATTCCAAAATGTTTTCTTTATCTGAATTGGGAAGTTAGCTGTGTTATTGATGATGAAGAATCTTTTCAATTCTTGTTTATCGCACCCATGCAAATGACTCTTGACCTTAACATCTTAGGTGCAGTTTTTGTGAATGGAAAAGAGATGACTAATCAGTTGCCTGCAGTTACTTCTGGATCCACTGTCACATTTGACATTGAAGCTGTTACCCTCGGATCCACCAATAATAACGAAGGCGGAAACTTCAAACTTCGAGTAACTATTAGCTCAAGTAACAGAGAAGTGGTTTTTGATTGGTTGTTAGATCAATCTTGTGGTTCTCTTTACTTTGGATGCTCATTTTTCTATCCTGGATGGAAAGTGTTGGTGTTCTAAATTTTTGGCTGGCTGGCTGGCTCTAGTTTGTAGGGTTTTTGTTTAGCTCTCCTCCACCCAGTTTAGTTGTAATTGATTTAAAAATCATGAAATTCATCTCTCAGTTAAGCCATCAGAAATGGAATATGCTTACTAGATTTATTTTGAAATATTATAATAATAAGAGGCTTGAATATTGTGGACAAAACCATAAATTGTCTATTTTTTCTTTTAGCATAAATTAATTGAAACATGACATTACAATACAAAACAATTTGACTTTAAAAGTGTGAAAAACTATTGTAAGGCTTATACCCTTTTTAAACTTATTAGGACTAAAAACATAGTAGTATTTTATTAAATAAATCTCCATCTATTAAGGAAAAAGCCATGTAAGACTTTAGAATAAAATAACAGGAATAGACCAGATAGAAGCCAGAGTTCTGTAATATACATTGACTTATTTGATCTCCGCATTGAGCGTGGAATATGCTCTCTGTATTCAGGTATTTGTAAACAGTGTTGGATTTTTATCTCATGTTCAGTAATCTTTAAATCTCAAAACATAATTTTGGCATTTTTAAAAATTACTGAACAAATGTCTACAATAGGCAAAGTACTTTCTGTTCTTGCAATTCAATTCACAATAGCTAGAGTATTTTTACAGGGTAAAACTACTTCCGGAAGTAGTATGTGCAACAGTGTTAACCACTGCACTTGTATGTAATATGCACATGTGCATATCCTGCCTCAGTGATATGCACATTGCTCTTCATAGGGTATGAGTTGCAGTCCAGTTTAATATATGTTTTATAAATGGTCTCTTGGTGGACCAAACAAATATAGGGTGAATACTTGACCTATTTTTGGGAAATAAATTTGTTTAAAATATTTATTTGAAGGAAGGCCTTACTGAGTATGTGAAAATGATCATCTTAACTTGCTATACCAGCCTACAGATTTTTTTTTTCCTAATGTGAATTTCTTTTTCATTTTTACTAGTCGAAAAGTGGAAAAGCAAGTTGGATATTTTTGTAAAATAATTTATTTGGGGGTTCAAATTCCCCGTTGGACAATCCTGACTTTCTTCTCTTTTCAGTAGGTGTCTTTTTTTTTTTTTAAAGTAGATGTCTTTCACTTGTTGATTGTGTTGATGTGCTAGAATGTAGGTGCCCTGTCTACCCCTATCTGAAACAAAATAAAAAGCTGAAAAGTGAAGTGTGTGTATTTTGTTTTTTTCCATGAGGTTAGACTAATCCTACTTTAATCTTTTAAATAGAGACAGAAAGTATTTCTTGTAGATCTACTCATTTTAATTCAGACATTATAACTTGTAAGAAGTAAATTATACTTTCTTATAGCCTGTGTGTTTGACATATAACAGGTACACAATAAAGTTGATTTGAATGTAGATGATTTACTTTCCCTAGAACATTTTCATCTCATTCCCTTCATTCACCAAATATTTATTAACAGTCTTATTTCTTATTTCTGTGGTAGCTCCCTGGCCGGGGATTGAACTTGTGCTGCAGTGGCTGCGGATAGCTTCATAGGTTGCATCTTAACCCCTTGCACCACCAGGGAGGCCCTATCTCATGAAATTTAATATTGATTCAAACCTTTCTATGCCATTTTGTTAATCTTACCTAGAGCAGTTTAAAAAATGTACTTTTGTAGGAAATTAAACTGTTACATAATTTCAAGTCACAGTGAAAATGTCAGTGAAAAATTCTTTCCCATCCATTCTTTATCTTCCCTGAAAGCAGTTGTTTCTGTGTATCCTTTTAGACATATTCAACAACCCAAACAAAAATGGGCACATAATTTTTCAATTAAAACAAACATAAAAAGAAGTACACTACAAATCATCACATCCCTTTTCACTTATATTTTAGCATATGTTCCACATTGGCTCACAAAAAAACTTTTCTGATCTTTTTAATGGCTATAGAACGTTTCATTTATGGGTGTATGAAAATTTCTTTAACCAATACCCTGCTACTTACTTAAGTCTAATCTGCTGTTTTCAACAGCAGTAACAATTTGTCATTTCACACAGTCCAGTTTTTCTGTAGAATAAATCCTAAAGTTGAAATTGTTAGGGAAGAAGTTAAATGTATTGATTTGAATAGAAAGTACCAGATTGCTCTGTCGAAAGGTTGTACCAGTTTATTTTTCTCCCGGAAATGTGTTGAGTGTCCACTCTCCTTACCATTTTTGTTAGCAAATAGTCATCTTTATCAAGCTGAATCATCTCATTCCTTACTGCTGCTTCTGTTAAGTTTTAACTTTGGTCTTCTGTCTCTTCCCCAGTCTACAGTTATACTAACCTTCCTATCCATTCTCCCCAGAATTCCTTTGCTTATCTTTCTCTTCCTGTGGCCATTTTATTTTTGTTTTTTAAAAAGATTTATTTATTTGTGCATACAAGAACTGGGGTACAGTTTAGAGGTGCAGGGGGTGAGAGGATTCACCACAGACAGAGTGGGGAGCAGAACAGGCAGATCCACTGAAATACACTGCTGAGGGGAGTAGTGGAGGGACAGGAGAGGTCTGCTGCGCCATGTGTGTACCTCCCTGGCTGGCTGGGGATTGGCCGTCCGGGGATCGAACTCGTGCTGCAGAGGCTGCGGATAGCTTCTCAGTGTTGTGCTTAACCCCTTGCACCACCAGGAGGCCCCGTGGCCCCATTTTACACATACTGTTCATAATAATACTAATTTCCCATTTACTAAACTTGAAATCTGCTTTTTGTTTGGTAACTCAAAGTTGCCCTCTTAGTCATTTTCTGTTATATAGTACTACCTTATTCTTTGTGAAGCTACTCTCATGGCGTTGTCACTGTTCATTTTCATACTGCACCACCATTCAAAGATTACTTCTTGGGCACTTCATGATAGGCAATGTTCTAGTAGTTGGATGTTTCCTTACAGGACATTTAGTCCTGTCCAAAATGTTCTTTTTTTTTTTTTTTTTTAAAGATTTATTTATTTATTTATTTATACAAGCACTGGGTACAGTCAGAAGCGCGGGAGGGTGAGAGAATTCACCAGAGCCAGAGCGGGGAGCAGAGCAGGCAGAAGGACCGAAGTACACTGCTGAGGGGAGCAGCGGGCGGCAGGAGAGGTCTAGCGCGCCATGTGGGACCCTCCTCTGGTGGCTGGGGAGCAGCCGGGGATCGAACCGGCACTGCAGAGGCTGCAGGCAGCTTCGCAACCCAGCGCTCAACCTCTGCGCCACCGGGGAGGCCCCAAAATGTTCTTTGACAATTGGTTCACACTAAAAGGTGCTTGAAATTTGTTCTCATCAGAAATGTCCATGAGCGTATTTGGCCCATAATTCATTAAATAATACACTTAGCTATGTGAAAAATTTTTTATTGTATATCATGAATTTTGTTTGGTTTTTATATTTATCCTTCCTCATCAATTTCAGCAGGATTAATCTTAAATAAATAAGCGATTGCTCTGAAGTATATGTATCACCATAATTATCGGCATTTACTTGTTATATATGTTAATAATTTCAGGTACATGAATTTGATTCTGTTGGTAATAGGAAGTCAGTCGCCATAGTTGAGTGTGACATGGCTTTACTGTTCCTCTCTTAACATTTCAATAAATCTCCAAATTGAAGGATAACGAACTGCCATCAGCATTTGAAATTTGCTGTGCCAAGCTTCTCTTTTGTTATTTGTGCTGTGGTCACTGTTCAGTACCCATGATAAACATTACGAGTTTCTGATGGATATTTTGTAGTTTCAGGTTTCTGCCTCTGCCATGCCTTTCATGGACACTCAATATAACCCATCTTGTTTTCTAAATGTTCTTTTCTTTTTTTAAAGAGGTAGATTTTTTTAAAAATTTATTTATTTATACAAGAACTGGGGTATAGTCAGAGGCACGGGAGGGTGAGAGAATTCACCAGAGACAGAGTGGGGAGCAGAACAGGCAGACGGACCGAAGACACTGCTGAGGGGAGCAGTGGGTGAGGCAGGAGAGGTCTGTGCGCCATGTGGGTTTCTCCCTGGCTGGCTGGGAATCGAACCCGTGCTGCAGACAGCTTTACAGGGCGGCACTCGACCCGCTGCGCCACCAGGGAGGCCCTTTCTAAATTTTCTTCTGCATTCTCAGTGTACTCAAAACTCGTATCTTTAAAAGGCACATATAGAAATCCAAACATGAATGTGTAGATAGAAGTCAACTTTTTATTTTCATATACTCACCTGTTAGACTTGAAGACAATGCTTTACCACATTGTGAAGTGTCTAACAAGCATCCTTTTATAAATGATAGTTGATACAATTTTGAAATCTACCATGTATAAAGGGCTAAATGTCAAGATTCCTTTCCCATGTAAATGCAAGTACCTTGTCATCTATTAGCTATTCATCTTTATCATCTTACCTTTTGTTAGCGCTTAAATCAATAACAGGGTCCCAATACTACACTGTGCACAATTTGGTGAACCGTTGGTGCTGTTTGGTAGTGCCATCACTGAATGTGGTACTGACACTTAAATAGCAAAGTTTCATAAATAAAAGTTCTTTCATCTTGAACTGTGTAATCATGCATAAGAAAAGGTTCTCTGCATGTCACTCTTATGCCTCTGGAATTTCAACCCCATGCAACGTAGCTGGTTTTGAAGGTTGGTATCTTTTTTTTTTCAAGTTTTTTTTTTTTAATTTATTTATACAAGAGCTGGGGTACAGGCCAGAGGCACAGGAGAGTGAAAGAATTCACCCGAGACAGAGTGGGGAACAGGGCAGGCAGATTGACTGAAATATACTGCTGAGGGGAGAAGTGGGCGAGACTGGAGAGGTCTGCTGTGTCATGTGGGTATCTCCCTGGCTGGCTGGGAATCGAACCCATGCTGCAGAGGCTGTGGACAGCTTCACAGTGCTGTGTGCAACCCACTGCACTACTGGGGAGGCCCCTGAGGTTGGTATCTTGAAATTTTTTTTGAAGATTTATGCTTATGAGAACTAGGGTGCAGGCCAGAGGTGCAGGGAGTGAGAGGATTCATCAGAGACACAGTGGGGAGCAGAACAGGCGGATCCACTGAAATACACTGCTGAGGGGAGCAGCAGGTGAGACAGGGTTAACTCCTTGGCTGGGGATGGAACTCATTTTGCAGTGCCTGGCCATACCTTCACAGTGCTGTGCCTTTAATCCCTGCGCCACCAGGGAGGCCCTTGTTTTGAATTTTCTTTACTTGCCTTTCTTTCTAGTAGCACTAACTGAACCTTTTCATTATCAACATCACAGTCTTAAAGAACCTTTGAAGGCAACATCACAGTTCTTCACAGTACATGGTGGTTCTGCATGTGATTTTAACCTATTCAGGTTTTTCCTTCCTCTTCAACATTGTGATGTTTTTCTCTCCCATCTTGAATGGTTGTATTATCCAAATGCTGACTAGTTGTGTTATTCGACATTACAGATTTTCCTCTTAACAGCTCCAGTACCTTTTATTCCTATTTCTGTTCAAGGAATGGAAATGGTAATGAAAACTATTGTAATGTAACATTTATTTTTGTCAGTATAATGTTTGTGACATTCTGCTGAGCATTTTCATATTGCCAGGCAACAGAAAGGTTTTCTTTTGTAACTTCAGACAAATGGCTGCTGGTTTACTGGTAGGGGAGACCTCGTGGTTCAGGACTTGACACCCATTAAAATCTCCCACACATCATAGTTACTGGACATTGATTCAAGGAAAACATGGACTTAGTTTTAGGGGGAGTTAGATGCCTGGAATTCCCCTTCATGGCAGCTATTAGACTGACTGAACCACTATGTGGTAGGAGAGTCACCCCACCATTCTCATTTATCCCAAACAAGCCAGAACAGCATTTGTTTTAATAGCTACTTAATCCAGTTCCTCCTTTGAAACTCCTTTATTGAATGACCCAGCCACATCCAACCAAATACCCAGTGCTACATTAATACACCATCTTCAACTTCTTGCCTTCTGTGCATTTTTCTAACTGTAGGGCTCTTCCTCAATATAGTTAATATAAATCCCACCTTTCTGCTAAGATTTGAACCCTGACCAATCTACCTAATTATGCACCATTTGAAAGCACTAGGCTACAGAGGCAAAGTAGGGTTATCAGCAACACAGTCACAATTAATGGACAGTAAAATACTATTATTGTCTTAATCCTGTAAACCAAAAATACAAATAAATGTTATGGGCTACTTGAAACAAGATT